ATATCGCGGAGGGCGATCGCATCGATTTCGGCCGACATTCGATCGATACGCTGGCCACGCCCGGCCACACCAACGGCTGCATGAGCTACGTCATCAAGGAGCAGGGCTGTGTGTTCACCGGAGACACGTTGCTGATCCGCGGTTGCGGGCGCACCGATTTCCAAGAGGGCAGCCCCAAGAGTCTCTATGAGAATGTGCACGCCAAGATCTTTAGCTTGCCGGAAAACTATCGCATCTATCCGGCGCACGACTACAAGTGAGTTGACGGCGCTTTGCCATGTGCCTCTGCCATTTGCCAGCCGGATAATGAGTATGCTTGTGCTTACAGAGGTCAACTCGAGAGCAGCGTGTGGGAAGAGAAGCGCTACAATCCACGCCTCACCAAGACCCTCGATCAATTCATCGAGATCATGGAAAATCTCAATTTGCCGTATCCCAAGAAAATCGGTAAACAAATCGCAGGTTGAGCCTTTGATAAAAGCACACTCATGGGTATTTCTTTTAGATGCTTCGCTGCCAGCCAACCGGGAGTGTGGTGTATACGATATACCCAAGGAGTAGTACTTGAGTGTTATAAAGTATATAATATACACGAAAAACTCTCTAAAGGGGAAAGGAACCGCTCAAAAACTGTCTAGGCTTATGTTTTATACTTCGACTGTAATCAACACTTATTTATCTGATTTCTTTCCTTAAATACCAACTATGTATTAAAGTGTACATGAAATTATAAATAAATACATATCTGTAATTGGTCTATTTTAATTGTTTCGAATCAATTTTAAAGCTATTGTTGATATATTTATATTATATTATGTTTATATTACCTTACAATTGAACTTATTGTTATATTATTAGATCGCAACTCCTGCCACCCTATAACTGTTTTCGTGTGCGCCTCTTATCAAAAATTTATACACCGACTATCGCTCGCTTGGTCAAAAATCAAGTGTTGGTGTGGGGTAATAGACCTAGACCTGTGCATGTTGTTTCTGTGCTTTTTGACATTGTATTCACATTAAATTTAATCGATATCAATTATATTTAGTACACAAAGGCCGCATAAGCTTAAAGTTAATGAAAAACCAACAATTAAATAATTTTTGTTAGCCTCTCCCAATGGATTGAGTTTACGACTCTTGAGCCTTGAGGGCAAACTAAACTGTTCTGCTATAAACGTTTACTGGATGTGTTGAACGTATTCCTAAGTAGTTCTTATATTGTTTTTCAGAAAACAATAATTTTCTCTTTGCAACTAAATATTATTTAAGTATATTTTATGGAGGCTCATCCATTCGGTAATGCATATCATATAATCTTTGATACTCTCTTTAAAAAATCCTATTCAATTACATAACCTCAGCCCATAATCCATATCATTAAAAGAGCAAATTTACCCTGATCTGAAATCAATTCTCTATTTCATATAAGAGAGACCTCATGATGTGATATAATTAATTTGATTTTCCTCTTTTATAATATAATATGAATTCTTTTCAAATGGACTTCTCTTCTGTGCACATAAAACATTCATAGAGCTTAGATTCCTTAGACTCCTACTTAATTCTCAATAATTCATCTCTCTATCCACCTTCTCGCTCTCTTTCAGACCATACTCAATCCAAAGAGCTGCGCCAGTGCGGCCAAGTACAGTCTGCACGCGGCGTCAGAGAACAATCACGAGACGCAGCTGCATTTGAGCAGCGCCTCGTCGCATTGCTCCACAACGGGCAGGAGGCGCAAGGGCGGATCTCTAGGCGGAACACTCTCCTCTCGCTCCACACGCAGCGAGTCGAAGGAGTTGCGCTCTGCGCTGCAGGATCGCGAGGCTGTCATCCAGAACTTGCGCATTCAGCTCTGTCTGGGCAAGCTGCCTCGCCCCAGTGGCCCGCCCCTCGATGAGTCGGAGAAGCCAGCGGCAGAGCACAAATTGAATCGCCTGAAGGCTGAGGCGGAGAACAAACGCATCAAAATCAAGAACTTGAAGAGCGCACTGGAGAAGCTGGATATAACAGAGTAAGTGATCTGAGTCGAAATAACTCCTACAACCTACTGACTTCTCCCTCTCTCATTCCACCCCTCCCCGTTGCGTAGTAATATAGACATACGAATCCGGCAGGCGGAACTGGAGTATGCATTGGGCCGTGAAGAGCTGCAGATGCTCTCGATTGTGGAGGAGGCGCGTGCGCTGCAGGCTCGCCTGGAGAAGTCCAAGCCGGAGGCACAAACACTCTACAACATCATTAGCTCCGGCGTAACATTGAGTCTGCACGCCGTGCACGCCACGACCGGCCGCTGGGCGGCCCAGCAGCGGCCCGATCAGCCGGGCTTCTTTGTGGAATGGGCACTCGAGGGCGACGGACTGTACAAGGGCGATCGCATACTGGAGATCAATGGACGACTCGTGACTTGCAAGACCAAAGAGGAGCTGCAGAAGCACGTGGGCAACTCGGGCAAGTGCCAGATGGTGGTGCTGCGCAAGAAGTCTGTGCCCATACCGCAGAAGCAGCTGGACCAGGAGAAGGAGAACAACATGCGTCTACAGCATCGCATCTCCTACCTGGAAGAGCAAGTGCGTGAGCTGCAGACAGTGAAAGAACAACAACAACAGCAGCAGCTCCAATCCCAGCAGCAGTCGAAGCAACAATTGTCCACACAATCGAACAATGCACATGTGACCAGCATAAGCATATCGTCGCCAGCGGCGCCCTCGACGCCGCCGGACAAGCCGTTGATCTTCCAGCGGGGCAACTACATCACGACGCTCGTGGGCGGGAAACCGATTGAGCTGGTGGGCGACGAGATGCTGCCGCCCTCGCACGTCACCAAGACGCTGATCAAGGAGAACACCCATATCGATCTGCGCGAGCGCCTGCCCCAGTCGCATCTGTACACGATGCCGTCCAAGTCGCTGTCCGCCTCCAAGATATCCATCAACAGCGACTCGGCCTACATGCAGCAGCCGCAGAAGCGGGAGAAGGAGCGCCAGCGCGAGCGACATGAGCGCAACAGGGAGCGGGAGAGACCGCGGGACGCACTGCAGCAGCAGCAGCAGCTGCACAGGGAGCACATCATGAGCACGCATGCGCGCAGTGTGGAGCATCTCCACCAGTACAATGGGTAAGAATGGATAGCAGATGCTGATAGAGATCCACCCGTAAATATACTAACGACTCTCTCCTTTCATCTCCCCTCCCTAGTCTGGAACGTCGCCGTGACATGCCCCGCCAGAACGAGGCGCAAACCCTGCGTCCAACTCGCCTGCCCAGCGACGTGCGCAGCGTAAAGTCGCTCGACTTTGACAGCGAAAACGAATCGAAACCCTCGACCGGCAGCCGCGCCGTCCATCGACCCACGCCGCCCAAGAAGCCACTGCGTCTGTCGCTGCAGCGCGCCCAGAGCCTGCAGACTGTGGAGCTGAATCCCAGCTCCGAACATGTGGACCGCAAGCGGCCCATGAAGCGCGTCCATCACAACAGCAGCGCCAGCGGCGGCTCCTCGCCCAGCGAAGAGGCGCAGGGTCAATCCGCAACTCTCATCGAGAGCTGCAGTCCCATGCACACAGCCTCCCTGGGCAGGCACAAGCTCATCTGAGTCGTCATCCCCAATCGGACCTAGATTATATACAAATATTTTATTGGAGGAACAGCTGCGCTGCAGCTGTCGATCCCAACAGGCGGACATGTGCAACAAGAAACCTAATTTAAATTGTAATTTGTGAAATTCTATCATACACATAGAATTCCACGTATAGCTGTAGCTATATCTATACCTAAATCTCTATCTATATAAATGTATATGTATATGTATGACTTATGTACTTACCAGAGCTCATCATTTGTGGCTCAGTCAAGGCAAGATTGTATCCAAACTCTATTAGCACAATTCCATTCTGTAAATACACGACTGTTTGCATTCTAAATCAATGGACTTATTTATTTTTCGGAATGGATAAATAGAAGGAAATTTCTTCGAATGAAGAATAGATAGAAATAATATTTAGGCTGTCAAACTTCACTTTTAAAATAAAAGGTAATGTGATGTATTAGAAAATGAGCGCATATATGAGGAAATGACAGCATATTCATATGTATTTTGGTCAGATAAGATTAGATTTTAGCTCATAAGCAAAAACACATTTTATCTCCATATCAATTTGGGTTGCTAATCGGGTTTTTATAGATTTATCTATAAAATATTTCTACAGTGCTCTATTGACTGTCTGATATGTAATATTCAAAGGAATACACTGTAGTATTACACAGACCCCAGATAAATGTTATACGTATAACAATTTTTCGTCAATTTAAAATTGCAACAACCGGGATCGATGCAAGACAGGAACTCATTTACCTTAAATTATTTTAAAATATTCTCAATTTTGCAATTTCATAGCAAAGCGCACGATCATATTGCTTCATTCATAATATATTTGCATATGATAAGTATTTGAATGGAACTCACGTAGTCGTGTTTGGCGCTCGCGTTGTATAACACTGGAATACTCGAATACTTGAATAAATATTATTGTTTTAGCATAACAGCATTTCAATACACGCAGAGCTGATAAGCCAAAGACAGTGAGAGAGTCAGAGCGAGTGCAGGAAATAAACAAAAATAATGTTAGATAAAATTCCATAATCATGTAAAACTGCAGTGAGAGAGTCAATTCTAACAACTGCAAACAGCGTTGATGAGCGAAAGGCAACCAGAAAGAGAAAGAGCGCGAGAGAGAGAGCAGCAATGTGAGTTAACGAAAATGCACTGAGCGCAGGTAGCGTGTTCTAACTATTATAAACATAGCAGATGAGCTTGCGCGCAAAAGAGAAAGAGCTAGTGGGAGCGTATAACAGGAGGATGACTGAACGATAGCGCACGATCGTTGTTCGTGTCTTGCCAGCCACAACGTTACCGTTGACGCCGACGTCAGCGCTGGCGTCGGCGTTAGCGCTGGCATCACATGTACTCTCAGACTCGACTTGCGCCAGCAATGGGAAATTTAAAATCAGTTGCTCGGCAGGTCTCCAAACCAAAGCTTCGCTGCATTCCAATCAAAGCGGTAAATTGTTCATCTTGCTGTAAAATCAGTTTCAGTGCTATTAATTAATAAATACGAACTAAAACAACAAAAACACACGAAATCAGCTGTTAACTAGGTAAGTGCTGGCTGGGGCTGCTACAATTTCAATCGAAACAAACAAAAGAAACTGAGAATAAATATAAACAATAGTAGAACGTGCTAAAAAACTGTATTAATATTGTGTTCAATTGAACAATTAGCAAAACCAGTTTTCGCACAACTGCAAACGGACTTTAAATGATACCTTAATATTTGTGCGTTCAATGGTCGTTCGCCCTTGCATGTGGGTTACTGTAACCTGTTATACACCCACACACGCACACAAACATACACAGATGTACATACATATGTATTTGTAGCCGAAAAACTGAATCGAAAAGAACAAGCAACGCGTTAACAAGCAGTCGATACGTTGCCTTTGCTTCTGTTTTGCTTTGGCCGAATTCGAAGCTAAGTTCGAGCATTTTCGAAGGAGCGGCTTTTTCTTCAGTCATACTCGAAAATATTTTACTGCCGCTTTGTGTCAGGCAAATTCGAAAATATGTCGTTAACAAACGCTTATAATTTGATATTTTGATATGCAGCTATAAAAAGATTATCTGAGCAACAACGAGCTGGCATCACACTTGAGCTCAACTAAAACTATCGTTTAACTATCCACAGATAATTGTATGCTAATTAGAGTCTCACTACAAAGCATATCTATTGTTGTTATCTGTATGGGAACAGAGATTACCTTTGTCAATTAGCATCCAAAATTCAGGGTCATTGAATATTATTCTACACGCAAAAAAATATGTCGTATTTAATAAATACACTTACATAGAAATATGAAATATACATACATATGTATATATACAATTTTCTGTTGAATATAAATTTTATTGATATATCAATAAAACTAGAAAATACCCTGTAACCTAGTCGAGTATTATTATACTCAATTCATTCAAAATTATAAGCCATAGAAAGGTGGAAAATTCCAAATATTATCAAAATCCTAGTTAAATTTTACTTCTAAAGTACTTCTATAACTTAATCTCAATATAGTTTTTTCCGCACTGTAAATATTGAAAATTTGAAAGAAACTAGAACTGAACTAGAGCATACTAATAAATTCCAACTCCACTAAATCAATATACCCGCAATGAATTCAGTGCGAAAAAAATGTTGAACGTGTTAATATTGGTAAACCAAAAAAAATCCATACTATACTTACACGGCAAATATTTAAGTTGCATATTTATTGTATAACAGATTAGATACGTAGTTATTAACTGTTCGAATCAAGTATTTGTGTGAAAATGCTTTATTATAATATAACGTTAGTGTAGTTAGTTATAGTTTTAAATAGTTTGAGTTAAACAAAAAAAAAGAAATGTATACTGGAATTTTTCACTTACGATCTTTAAATATAGATTAGGAAATTGCAAATCATGTTCCACCAAATGATTAGAGTAGCTACAGTAGTCATTGACTAGTGACACTTTTCATTCATTAAATAGCGCAAAGAGTTCATTATTCTTTCATCAATCAATCAACCTGGGAAAACGCCCTAATGATAGCTCTTCGAGTATGACAAATGATTGGCTATTGTAGGCAATGCTATTCAGACTGAAATTAAGTGAAACTGAGAAAAAGACATTTAGTATACTCGAGCAGCTAGAACGAACAACAACAAAGCTTTAGACATACATATCTTATCCGTGAGAATATCGATTTGCGTGCCGACAGTCAGACTCAAGTATACGACGCCATAACTTCTGAACATGATTGTCAAATTTTACATTATACAATCAGCAGAAGCTCAATAAGGCGAATAAGTTTAGCGATAACTGAGATAAGCGCTACATAAAATAGGTTGAAATACTATTACAGAGAGTGAGTAGCCAGTAGATACCCTAGCATTAGTTCGAATTTCTTCTCAAATATATATAGATATATAAAATATAGTTTATATGTGTTTTTTTATTTCGATAACAACTCAATAAGAATTTCAATACCCTCATGAATTTAGTTTCCTAGAAAAAAAAAAAATTGATCATGATTAGTTTGGTTGCCGTACAAATATTTCTATAATTACTCAAAATTTCTAAGAATAATCCTTTCCAATAAATCACAAACTCTTACGCATTTACTATTCACGTTTCAATGGAAAAGTTCCAATATATGCAGATATGTATATACATATAGAAAGTAAATAGTTTTTAAACCCTTCGTAAGAAATCGATGTTTCTTTAATTTAAATATATATGTATGTAGGATTTTACATTTATTGAGTAAATTAAAAGTCAATTTAACGATTTCCTTTTAACTTTAAACTTTAACGAGTTTTACAACAAATGTCTACAGAATTATATTATATTATATTGTATTTTATTATAGAGATTAATTTTAGTTACACTTAGGTTATTTAATTAATTGTACGTGTTCATGATCTTTTCACTTCTTATGATCTCTATTTCACTTCTGTTCTTCTTTATCTTATTCGGTACTTTTACTTAGCGACACTTGATTCTGTTGTACGTCTTAGCTGCTTGACGGCTGCCTCACGACTCTTCGTCGACGACTGCATAACGACTCTTCTTCTTCTAAGAACGACTCTTGATCTAG